CGCCGACGCCGAAGAAGAAGAAGGGCAAGAAAAACAAAGGCGCTGCCAGCTTTGACAGTCCCCAGCCCACGTCCCGCGCCATGTCGCCGGTGCAAGACATCAGCCTGCCAGCTGCATCCGAGACTGACATACCTGTGAACACCCCGGCGGCCGAACCTGAGCCTATTGTTGAGGCCCCGATGGCTGATGTTGAGCCCATCGGCGAAGATGAATGGACGCCGCCGGCATCCAAGAAGAAGAAGGGAAAGAAGGGAAAGGCTGCGGCAGTTTTCGACGTATCGGAGCCTGTGTCTCGCGCCGTGTCCCCCACGCATGCTGCGAGCTCCGACACTTTCGAGAACGCCGAGGCTCGGAACGTGGAAACGATCGCTTCGTCCGAGGCTCCTGCACCCATCGACGAGACTCTCGCACACGCCGAATCAGCTCCCACGGAGGACGAATGGGCGCTTCCCGCAACGACCAAGAAGGGCAAGAAGGGCAAGAAGAACAAGGCTGCTGCAATTCTTGCTGAGGCTGAAGCTCAACTAGAGCCCATGTCGGCTGCCCCTGCAGATGACGTCCAAGTCGACGATGTCATGGCCGAGCCCACACCCTTTGACTCGGCTCCTGGTCAGCCCGAGCCCGCTGACGACACTTGGGACGCAACGCCCTCCAAGAAGTCGAAGAAGGACAAGAAGCGCGGCAAGGGCTTGTCAGCGTCCCGTGAGCTGTCGCCTGCCCGCGAGGAGCCCGTTCTCGAACGTACCGAAGAGCCTATTTCTTCACCGCCAGCCACACCCAAGGCAGAAGACACATGGGATGCTCCCACTTCTTCGAAGAAGAGCAAGAAGGGCAAGAAGGCTAACAAGCGCATGCCGGTTGGCTTCGAGGAGTCGTCCCCCAGTGACAGCCAAACACCCACTGAAGCGCCTCGACAGAGTCCCTCGTCGTCGTCCTACTGGGGCGAGCTTGGTGCGGCTGCGATTGTTGGCGCCACTGCCACTGCCGCTGTGGCCGCCCTCACTGGCAAAGAAGAAGGCGACCCACGCGACATCGAGCCGGTCAAGAGCTCTCGCGATGTCGGCGATACGTATCTTGAGGGCGGTCTGGATGCAGGCCCGGGACCGGTCGAAGCGGCAGCCCTCGCCGACGACGACGATGGCTTTGGTTTCACTTCAGGAATCACTGGCGAAGAGCAGTCGGGCTACTGGAACAACCAGGCAGCAGAAGAGATGTTCGATGTCTGGGAGGAGGCCCAGCCGGAGGCCACTCCTACCAAGAGCCAAGTGACATCGTCTCCGGATGCTGCCAAGGAGGAGACTTCGGGACCACCATAAGCGAGATCGCCTCTCCTACTGCCAGCAAGGTCGGTACGCCCAAGTCTGCTGTCGGTAAGAAGAAGAAGGGCAAGAGCAAAAAGTCCAAGTACGAAGACAAGAAGCCGGGCGGTGGTGATGATGACCCCTTTGACGACCCCATCTTATGGGAGGGAGCGGATAAGAAGCATGTGAGTGAGATTGCCAGCTTCGAGGTTGAGAAGTTCTGGGGCAGCGGTCCAGAGGCGTCGAAAGATGTGCCTGCCGCGGTGGTAGACGAGGAGACAGTGGAGGACGGTGAGCGTTCACTGGAGACGGATGACAAACCGATGGTGCAGGAAGCTGTACACGCGGCCGTGGTGGAGGACACTATGGAGGGCGTAGCGATTGCCCCGGTACTGGACACGAAGGAGAATTCGCCTGTCAGCATTTCATCACGGGCACTGCAACTCAAGGAGGCGGACTGACAATGACTACAATGCCGAGAGCCCTGTGCTCGGCCGCGGCCCCTCACACGACGAGGCACTCGCGACGACGAGATCGGTGGCCAAGGACGAACCCCAGCCTGTGGCATCGGAGCTGATTCGACAGAGCATCGAGACAGACATTGACGAGGCTGTCGACCGGGGGTTCGAGGCAGAGCAGCGCAGAGACTTCTCAGAAGCCACGCCAACAGACACTTACATGCCGGCTTTCGAGCCGACGACGGACTTCCGACGGTCGGTCTCGCGAGGCCTGCCGCCCGTGCAAGAAGAGACGTACGACGAGGAGGAGACGGGCGAAGAGCGCGGGCGCGGGCGACAGAGCTTCACGGCAGCGACACCAGTAACGCCCGAGGTCAACCGAGACAGCGGCTTCATGAGTGACTCTTCGCACCGGCGCTCTTCAAGAAAGACCAAGGTCGTCGTCGAGCAAGACAACCGAGACAGCGGCGTGCATCTACGGGAGGATGAAGACGGTTCACGCGATGTGGCACGCAGCCCCGAGCCCGGCTGGTCGACGCCCAAGAGCCGGAGCATCACGGTACCGGAGGAGAGCTCGTCCAGGAGACTCCGACGGTCGCCGCTGTCCAAGGGCGAGCTGCGCGAGCGGGACCATCCCATGACCAAGACACCAGTGCTGCGCGAGCCCAGCCCACGCGACGTCACGCCCGAGCCTTACAAGACGAGGCGCCACAAGTCACCAGAGCGCGGCGTCGGCGGCGACGACAACAAGAGGTCCAGATACCGCGACCTGAGCGCGGGCACGTCGGACGCAGGCGCAACTCTCTCGCGTGCGTCGGCCTTGACGCCGACAGGCACAGCAGTAAGCCGACGAAGCGTCTCTGACCATGTGACGCGCATTCAATCACCGGCGCTGGGACCGGAGAGCAGCATGGTCAGCAGCTCCGTGGGTGGAGGGGCTCTGGCACGACGATCAGCGTCCAACACCAGCCTCTCGCTTTCCACATCACGTCACAGAACGCACACGCCCGAGCCGCTCACGCTCCGGCCAGACAGTCCAGGCTCTGTCGTCTCTGCCTCAGGCATCTTCAACCGTCAGGCATCAGCCACACCGCCCTTGAGGGCGGGTGGACAAGCGTGTGAGTGGAGACCTCCGATCTCTTCGCCAACGCAGCGAGCTCGACCTGGCTGCAGCATCTCCCGGCGTAGCGCCAGTGGGAGCCCGAGGAGCTCTGGCACCAGCACGAGCCCCGCTGCAGGTGGTGCAGGTGGTGCTGGCGCAGCTGTGCTCGCCGTCGCCGGTGTGGCCGCCGCCGCTGCTGCTGCTGCTGCTGCTGCTGCTGGCGCTGCCTCGAGCTCTTCTTCCTCTCAGCCCAACAACAACAACAACTCCTCCACCGCCAAACCCAAACCTGACCACGACAAGACCAAGTCCAACACCCCCGTGGCCAACGAGGGCCGTGTCCGTTCCAAGGACATGCCTGACGTCTATGTAAGTTTGAACCTCTCTCTCTTTCTTTCTCTCTCTCTCTTGCTTTCTTTGTTCCCTCCTCCCGCATTCCACTCCTCCCGCATTCCACTCCTCCCGCATTCCCGCCCGCCGCCCCCCCACGGGCCCAAAACCTAAACTAACCTTTGTCTTCTTCTTCCCCCGCACAGGATGGCTTCGGTGAGGGCCGTCTCGGCTCACCTAGATCACCCACGAGACCTCACTCGATGCGACGTCGCCAGAGCATGCAGGTTCTCGAACTCGAATCCCGTCTTGAGCAATTGACCGCCGAAAACCGCATGCTCGCCGAGGCCAATGCCAATGCCGGCCACAACACGACGCGCTCTGCCAACCCAGCTGCCCTCGCGGAACGCGACGCCCAGATCGACCAGCTCAAGCAGTCGCTCGACTTTCTGCAAAAAGAGGTCGCGCGATTGACCGAAGTCAACGATGGCCTCAACAGCGCCAACTCGCAATTGGCGTCTCAGCACAACGAGACGTCACGCGCTCTCGAGACGTCGCGGACCGCCTACGACAACTACGGCGACTCGCTGCACCAGAAAGATGCCGAGATTGAGCGCCTGCGCGCCGAGCTCGAGGCCGCTAAGGAGCAGGTCCGCGAGATGCAGCGTCAGATCCTCGCCACCAAGGGCGCCACTGGCGGGTGACTTCCTGCGCATCCAAGACGTCGACCACTTCGACCACCGCTGTCAGCAGCTCTGCTCCCACGCCCAGCAGTGGGTGCTTCGCTTCTCCAAGTTTTCCGACATGCGCGCCTGCCGCCTGACCAACGAGATCAATGACGAAAAGGTCATTGACCGCCTCGACAATGCCGTCCTCGACGGCTCCGACGTCGACAGGTACCTCGCCGACCGCGTCAAGCGTCGCGACATCTTCATGTCCATGACCATGAACATGATCTGGGAGTTTGTCTTTACCCGCTACCTCTTCGGCATGGACCGCGAGCAGCGCCAGAAGCTCAAGTCGCTCGAGAAGCTCCTCACCGACGTCGGCCCACCCCAGGCCGTCCGCCAGTGGCGCGCCGTCACCCTGACGCTCCTCGCCCGCCGCGCCAGCTTCAAGGAGCAGCGCGACCTCGACACCGAGGCCGTCGTCCAGGCCATCATCCACACC